CAATGCATGCTCCTCCATCCTGCGCTTGTCACAAGAATGTGGAACTTCCACTGCTGCCGATGGAGATGAGCACCGCCCCACATTAATTTGAGTGCCGAGACTTGATCAACCCCTTGGGGTGGTTCAGAGGTCGGAGCGCCGAGCGGCACCGCCAAGAGTATGGGTTCAAATCCGGGGAATCAAGCCGCCCAACTGCAGCGACCGAACCAAGTTCCCAAGAGGAGTGAGCTGAGGGTGCCAGCCCCATCACCAATGAGGCCAAACAAACCTTGTCGCTCTGGCCGAGCAGCTGGGAATAAAGTGCTGCCCCTCTACTGTGTGCCAACCAGAAGGCCGCGGGGCCGATCAGGCTGCATGCGGAGGAACGGAGGTGAGAAGGAGGCGAATTGTCTGTTTGTCTGTTTTACTACGCAGACCACACATCACTCGGATAAAGGGATCTCAGAGGTGGCTCTGTGACATCCGCTTCCAAGTGTCTGACATGGAGAGTTGCACTGCACTGTAAGAATGTTCACCATGGATTCATTATCTGGTGTCTCGAGCCCAGGATAACTATTGGGATAGATTATTATGATGACCGTTCTCTTCGTACAAAACTAGACGTAAGGACAAATAAACCATCATGGGAGCTGGGGGGACGGGGGCAGCGCGACCGGTTGTGTCAATGCCAACTTTGGTCATTAGGTTAACACCACCTCCAGTGTGAAGCGAGTCGGCGTCTATAGACTGCCATACGCGAGATCCATGGGCTGAGACTGGGCCGGAAGGCCGACGGACAAACTGACGGCGATCATCGCGAGGCACTCCTCCGCTCTGTGGCGCACAGAGCCAGCGAGATGGAGCCAGTGAGACGGAGCTCTCTGGCTCACGCGGTTAGCCGCCGGGGATCACCGCCGGAGTTAGCGAGTGCCCATTTAGGCCGGTAATGGGGTGAACGTAAACGGTGCACACCACCCCCACCCTGCTGGCCTTAATAGGTGCTCGCTAACAGCAATGCTCATGAGGCTAAGCGGAGGATCGGTCCCTTGTGGGGAGCTACCGCGCGCTGCACTACGAACCCGGCGGCCCGAGTTCGATTGGCGCTCACGACCAACACCAATTACTCTTACCTCACAATGTTCTGGGCCTCCCCTAGGTCGACTCAGCCTCAAGTGAGTACGGGATGGTGTGCGTAATCATCGCCACTAGGGAGACAAAGGCGGCCGGGCGTGGTAGTGGCCACCGGCCCCTTGTGTGCTGTGCCGGCCTTCATAGGTGCTACTCGCCAACAGCACTTTCCCCAACAGGCTCTGAAGGCTACACGGCGGACCTTTGTCTGCTCTGCCGCACTGGAATGGGGGCTTCATTAACTTCCGTCTCAGAATGAATGAACGAATAAAAATCCGCCTTGTACTGCAATTCACAAACGACGTGCGCTGTGGACCCTTTAGCCGTTTAGCAGAACGGCTGCGGGGGAGTGAGCAGCTGAGGGGAGGGGGGCCTGTTGGGCATGGCCCTGCTCCCACCCGCAGGGCAGGGCACCCTGCCCTCTCCGCACCAACACCCACCCCCTCACCCCACCTCCCCCCACCGCGCTCTCTCCTCCCTCCTCCTGACGTCTACCATAGAGACCAATCAAAAATGACTTCGGCAGTAGTTCTGCGATGTCCTCTTCTGCGCCCCGCTGTCCGTCACCAAGTAGCACTTTGCAACGTTTTGGAGTTCCGCATTTAATAGCCGCAATAATGACATAACCGCTAAAGCGCAATTGAAGAAAATTGATCACAACACTTTAGAGCCCTTTGTCAATCGACTGCTGTTGGCCACACTTGCCAAGCGCTGGGACGGGGAGGGCGGCACACCACGCGCACCGCTCCTCGCTCGCGTGAACAACGACCAAGACGACGATTCGAGCGGCAAACGACGACCGCTGGACATCGCGGTTGCTGTGGGCGCCGCTCGGCACGCAATGCGGCGGTCGGCTCCGGTCGGAGCGAATCCGCCGCCCTTAACGAATCCATCATGTTAGAAGCAGGAGGGAGAGAAGAGGGGGAAATGAAATAAATAACCCCCGCCGCCCTCCCCCCAAAAAGCGAATTACGATTCGGGAGGTGCACGGCTTTCACGCACTTTAAAAAAATAATTTCCTTGCTCTGCCAAGCGCTCGGAAAATTACTCTCCCCGTTCCCATGCCAATCGCAACCCCGCATGGAACACGCGTGGAGCGCGCACATGCACGTAGACGCGAGAGAGGGTGGCTGCGTGTGAGAGTGCACGGGTGAGGCCGCACGCATGTGTTCGTACATGTATGACAAAGGGGCGGTGGCCAACGTCGCTAACAACATTCTGAATCGGTCCTGGGCCTCCCCGAGGTCGACTTAGCCTCAAATGAGTAGCTGGTGCCATACGTAAACATCGCCACTGGGGAGACAAAGGCGGCCGGGCGTGGTGTTGACCACCCACCCCTTCGTGTGCCGTGCCGGCCTTCATAGGTGTTTGCGAACAGCACTTGCCCCAACAGCATTTTAAAGCTATAAGGGGGATCTTTGTCTTGTTACACTTGCACGTGCTTGCATGACTGCGTGCGCACTTGTGTGTGTGTGTGTGCGTGCATACGCATGATAAAGTAAGTGCATTAGACATCGTGCGTGTGTGGACACTTGTGAATGCTAAGCAAGGACCATTTGAGTTTGGGGGGCAGGGGTGTGCGAAGGGGGTCATATAGAGGGTCGCGCTGGGGGTCACGGGTTGAGAGGGGGGGGGATGATATCCGATCGCCTGATCTTCTGAGCGTCGGGCGTCTGATGAAATTTCATGATTTAATGGGAAATCTTACAAGCGGGCGGAAATTATATGTGTGCACGATTAGATTATTATTCATGAATAATTGACCGCAATTTGTGGGTATTTCATTACGAGTGCAAGGGCCTCGAATGAAAGGGGGAATAAAGCAAAGCTGCATTTGAGCGGAGACGGGGGCTCCCTTATTGCAATTAAAATTACATTCTTAGTCCATTAGAGCAAATCAGAGGTTCGGCCACGGAAGGGATTGTAATAATGCAGGTGGTCCGGCCCCCGTGAAGGGCGGGGCTGGTGGGCCCCCCCTCCCCCTTCGCCCCTCCCTCGCAGCTCAGGCGCAAAATAATTTAGCGACAAGATCGGCCAAATGAATGTCTTTAATTTAAACAAAAACAACGCCCGGCGCCACGTCGAGATTATGAAACAAATGTCGCCAAATTGTTGAGAACATGAGGCCCGGCAAGTTTAATGGACTCTCTCTCTCTATAGGGAGAAAACATTAACCCCTCGTCGGCAGAGTTTGCCGCACCAGGGGGAGCAACGCGGAACTTCGCTCGTTCTCGCCACTGTGTTTAGTTTGTTGTCTTTCCCTGCACCTCTGATAAGCACGGTTGGCAACATTCGATGGGAATTCCACGTTTCCTTGGCAGAAGCGGTACAGAACGGCGCAGTGCGGGCGGATGTTCTACCTGAGCAGGGCTCGTAAACCAACGATACGGAAAGTACACGAGTGTCAGGGGGTGTGGGGTCGAGGGAGGTCAGAGGGCGACAAGGCGCGGAAGGTGATGGGCAGGGGAGGCGAGGTAGAGGCGCGAGGAGGTGAGGCTGAAGAGGCGACGAGGGGTGGAGAGAGAGGAGGGGCTGGCGATGTGGGCGGTGAGCAGCGCGACCGCTTACCCGCCCGACCTCCACCAGGTTGGTGAGCATCACCACCGAGGCAGAGTGCTCCTGCCAGACCATGCGCCAGAAGTCGTAGACGGTCTCCGGGAGGGGCCCTGCGTGAACGCCGTGACACAAACATGACGAGGTCAAGAAGTCACGATGGCCAAAGCCACCACAACGCCATCCTTCCTTCTCCGTGATCTCCCAACAGGCCACGCCGGACATCCAGGGACCGCTCTCACGGTCTTATCGCCCCCACTGTCTGGGTCAGGGTCTCCACCTTACCTTGCATGGATACATTCACCTCCCACCGCAGACTTGACATTAATTATCATAATTCAGGGTCGCGATTCAATCAATTCGCGTTTGTCTCGTTTGACAATCTCGTTTGTATTGTTTGCTGTTTGGTCTGTCTCGTCTCGTCCGGACATTCGAATTCGCTCTGTCGGCTTGAAGGTAACGTTAGCATTAAATTTGCATCATTTGTAAATAATAGATTTCTGCGTGACTGACCCTACGCGTGTGTATCAAGCTAGGAGGAACCGGCTCTGATTTACGATCCAGGTGTCGAGTCCCTAGGTAATCTGAGATGCTCTGGAATGAAAACTTAATGTTACACAATCCCTTTAAACAACGCTCACTGCTCCAATTACAATTGCTCGCAACAAAAAAAAAACGAATCCCAACAACACTGTCGGCGAAAACCAGACGCTTACAATGGTCAGACAAACTTCAGAGCAGATGTGGAAATAGCCAAATAGACGCGGAGAGATGAGACTAATGATGTGTTGCAGTCAAAGGAGGGAATGCGGCCAAAGGGGCGTGAAGAAGTCCAACGCGGAGATGGAGCAACGAAATATTACGTCGCAGGATCGTCAGAAGCGATGACCGCTTGGGGAGGCCTTCATCCAGCAGTGGATTGATCATGGCTGATGACGATGATCGACGGCAGGAGATCGTGGAATGTGAGCGCGCGACTCTCACCTTGCGTCGCGATGTAGTGGTGAGTTCGGTGGTAGCCCTGCAGAGTGGGGCGACACGGGGAGAGGGAAAGAGTCAGAGAGAGTCAGAGAGAGTCAGAGAGAGACGCACGGCGAGAGAGACGGAGAGCGCGGAGAGACACAGGGAGAGAGAGAGGGAGAGCAATAGACACAGAGAGAGAGAGACAGTAGCAGCGAGACAGACGGAGAGAGACGGAGAGCGAGGACGACACGGGGAAACGAGGCGCTTATAAATTGCTCGCCGGACGCTCGGCGACATCGCTTTGCCGCCACCTCGGGCTCGCGGCGAGGCGGGGGGACGGTGATTAATGCGGAGACCCATCAGGGGAACGAAGCTAACGGGCGGCGCGGGTCACGTGGAGCGCACGGCAACTCGAGGGTCACCGGAGCCGCGCGCGGCGGTGGAGGAACCAGGACGGAGGCGATGGCGTTCGCTCTGCCGTGCCCGTTACGCCGTGATTGCTCCCACAACGCGCCCAGGGCCGCCTGCTCCCTCCCGGAAGCCTCGAAGCGATGGGAGGTGGCACAGTGTTGTATCCCGTGTACACCGCGTACACCACGTACACCACATATACCACGTACACCACGTACACCACGTACACCACATACACTGTGTACACCACGTACACCATGTACACCACGTACACTGTGTACACCACGTACACCGTGTACACCATGTACACCACGTACACCACGTACACCATGTATACCATATACACCACGTACACCGTGTACACCATGTACACTGTGTACACCACGTACACCGTGTACACCGTGTACACCACGTACACCACATATACCACGTACACCATGTACACCACGTACACCACATATACCACATACACCACGTACACCACGTACACCACATATACCACGTACACCACGTACACCGTGTACACCGTGTACACCACGTACACCATGTACACCACGTACACCATGTACACCATGTACACCACGTACACCGTGTATACCATGTGCACCATGTACACCATGTACACCGTGTACACCATGTACACCACGTACACCATGTACACCATGTACACTGTGTACACCATGTACACCATGTACACCGTGTACACCATGTACACCATGTACACTATGTACACCGTGTACACCATGTACACCGTGTACACCATGTACACTGTGTACACCATGTACACCATGTACACCATGTACACCGTGTACACAGTGTACACCATGTACACCATGTACACCATGTACACCGTGTACACCGTGTACACCATGTACACCACGTACACCATGTACACCGTGTACACAATGTACACCACGTACACCGTGTACACCACGTACACTGTGTACACCGTGTACACCACGTACACCGTGTACACTGTGTACACTGTGTACACCGTATACACCGTGTACACCGTGTACACTGTGTACACCATGTACACGGTGTACCACACCACCTCCCATCACTTCTAGGGTTCTGGGAGGAGGCAGATGTTTTTGTGGCTGATATAACGATGATAAAGATGCCGCTTCAAGCGCATTTCTAATTTACATTAAATTATCGCACATCGCCTTTAATTAAAAACAGCTCGCCTAACTTACATTTCATTATTCTGTCGTAAACTTGTTTCAGCTTCCGCAATTTTCGATCCTTCACTGTCGTCGTGCAAAAACATTCCCTCCCACAGCTCTTTGCGTTTAACCCCACCGCCCCCCCCGTACCTGAAGGGGGCTCTCAACTGGAAGTTTAAAGGCCATCGAGGCACCCCCGCCTAGCCCCGCCATTCGTGCACCTGCGTGGGAACGCTACTCTGACGCAGTCCATTTCTGGATTCGAACCACGAACCTCTGCGACACGCTACCACGAGCTAGGCCACGTCACCGACCCACGATTGTCGATCCATTGCTCGACGAAGGCCTCCAAACTCCGAGTCGGTCACGCAAGTTGTTTTAGCCATACTTCACCACGCTGGTCAGCGTGGGTCGGTGAAGCACGTGGACCCCAAGACCGGTTCAGATATCACTCGCCGCTCATGTTAGCCGTGGCCAGGAACGGAACTCAGGTCACCGGGTGAACAGTGCGGCGTGCCAACCTCTAGGCCACCGCACGCGCCGAGCATTCCACAGGCATCGTGAGCTTGTGCGATGCTCCGTGAATCGGTGTAAAAACAAGGAGCATCCTGTGTGCACGCAGTACATGACCGACATGCGTGTGCTTGTGCTATTAGGACGTATCAATGCGCACGGAGACTGTGCCGCGCCAAGACGCAGCGCGTGCGTGCACAGCAACCGGGAGGGGCGGTGGAATAAGGTGACACGAGGTGAACGCACGCACACACACACACGTGTACGTAAAACAAATACGGGCGCACGCACACATGCGGAGGAATGGACACATTCACGCATGCAAGCACGAGGGATGGGTACTTTGAGACACGCTCGCATGCACACATACACACAGGCACGCACGCGGAATCTCTCGTCTTATGGAAATGTCCCATCCCAGGAGGAAGCGTATAACTCACAGACATAATCACAAGCCGGCATGCTCGCGCACCCCCCACCACCTGCCCCCAGCTGCCCCCAGCTGCCCCCCTGACCCCTCCCACACCCCACCCACGCTCGTCCACTTGTCTGCCCCCCCCCCCCCCCCCAGCACGCCGTCAGCACAACAGCCCCGATTCCGTCCGAAGATCTCTCCCCCTCTCCAGACCTTGAAAACCCCACTGCTCTTGAATATATTGTGTAGCGGCTCACGTCTTAAATATTCAAGAGATTATTTCGGTGTGAACATCCTCAACGCCGATCCCGGCACAAACTCTACCTCCACCCCTTTGCCTACGAACCTGGGCGCGAATTCTAACGCCCCCCCCCCCCCACGCCATTGTCTGCCCCGGCCCCCGCTGCGGCCACTGAACAAGGGGGCGGCAAGGCTGCCGTGCCTGCAGGGGGTGCGACTGCTCCAGGGCCCAGGCATCGGGCTATGACGTGGTAGATCAATTAAATATCGTGGGCAGAAGCCTGGTGGATTGGTGCACCATGAGACTAAGAGATGGCGAACACTTGGGGATTCCTGAGTGAGAAGGGTGGGGGTGAGGCAGAATTGGACTGGCGGTCTCTCCCCCCCACCACCCCCCCCGTGTTCCTTGCACCAGGGCTCATCGTGCCAACGCCGCTACGCCACCGATCCACGCCCAATCCCCCAAGCCCTCTCGTTACCGCAGAGCGAACCTTGGCCTGGCTCGCTCCGCACCCGCACGGACGCGACGTGCTCCACCGCTTCAAGGGCATGTGGTCATCACGGCCGATGCCGCCACTCCCCGCAATTGCTTCCTTCCGCTAGATCCCGCGGTGCTTGTGAACTCGAAGCTTGTCGCTTACGGCGCGACGTCGTCTGGCTCGGGGTATCCCCTTCCCTTTGGTCCCCGACCTCTGTGTGCCACCGCTGTGCCCATCTCCGTGACCTCACCTCCTCTTCCTCCACGCTGCACATCTGTGCCACCAATCCCTACCTCCAATTCCCAACCCCCAAGTGGCTTGCCCTATCTTACAACAGCGTTGCAGGTTTCCTGTGCATGCACCTCTATTCCAACGCCCCAGCGTGAGTTACAAAATGAGTCGGACATTCACTGGGTGTCCAATTAGAAGCACTCACACCGAACAAACACTTCCCTTCCTGTAATTTCGTGTCCAATTTGCATCACTTAAAATATATAAACGTAACTTTGTTAATCCACTGCTGGATGGAAACCTCCCCATGTCGTATCAATCACGGGGATTATTTGAGCAAATTTGACCACCCTCGTGGTGCAGGACCGGATCATATATCACTCTCTACTGCTGTAGGCCACGGCTGGGAATCAAAGCACAATATTCCAGCATTGAAGCACAGTGTGCGCTAACCACTGCGACACTGCTCCCTTAATACGTTTTTAAAGGATGTGCCATTTATTTTGTGTCCATCTCATCAATTGTTTGTGTATTCAACCTTCAGAACATAACTAAACAATGCTTAAATTTTGATTTAAAGCTTTCGTGACTGCAGTAATTCATATTCTTAGCTCTTTCGGTAAAGTCACGTTGAAGGGAAACAATAAAATAATAAAATATATATAAAACAATAAAAATTCTCACGACGTTTCGACCATAACACAAACGGTCGTCATCAGGTGTGAAAAAACCAACGACCGTTTGTGTTATGGTCGAAACGTCGTGAGAATTTTTATTGTTTTATATATATTTTATTATTTTATTGTTTCCCTTCAACGTGACTTTACCGAAAGAGCTAAGAATATAAACAATGCTTATCCGCGAAATAAAAAAAATATCCCTGCCAAATTCTAAGTGGAAACCCAGCGAGAGTGGGGCAGGGAGGGGGGGGTGTACAGGCAGAAACGCAAGGATGGACAGATGGGGAGGCAAACACGGAGAGACGGACATACGCAGAGACAGAGAGACAGAGGGACCAACTCACCAGGTTACCGCTGCTGCAGCAGCACACCTACCCGTCCACAGCATCCACAGCAGCAGCAGCAGGAGGAGGAGACAGAGATGTGAACGTTGGGGTGGCGGGTGGGGCACTGGGCTACACGGGGGGAGAAGGGATGGCTGCCTCTTCCCTGGTTTATGGACAGAGGAATACGAGGCTGTGCCGTGACCTCTTAATCAAAATCCCCCTTGGCTACTCCACACGGACCCCCTTGGCTACTCCACACAGACCCCCTTGGCTACTCCACGTGGACCCCCTTGGATACTCCACGTGGATCCCCTTGGCTACTCCACGTGGACCCCCTTGGCTACTCCACGTGGACCCCCTTGGCTACTCCACGTGGACCCCCTTGGCTACTCCACGTGGACCCCCTTGGCTACGCCACGTGGACCCCCTTGGCTACTCCACGTGGACCCCCTTGGCTACTCCACGTGGACCCCCTTGGCTACTCCACGTGGACCCCCTTGGCTACTCCACGTGGACCCCTTGGCTACTCCACGTGGACCCCCTTGGCTACTCCAAACGGAGTTTGCTCTCTAACGGGGCCTCGGCATGAATCTAAACCACGCTCGCGATGATGCAGGGCCATCAGGTTGGTGGCGGTGGTTGGCAGGGGGCGTGGGGGGGCGGGGTGGTGGTTGGCAGGGGGGGTGGAGGCCGGGGTGGTGGGGGGCGGGGTGGGGGGGGGGAGGGGTGGTGGGGGGCGGGTGGTGGGGGCCGGGGTGATGGGGGGCGGGGTGGTGGGGGGCGGGGTGGTGGGGGGCGGGGTGGTGGGGGGCGGGGTGGTGGGGGGAGGGGTGGTGGGGGGCGGGGTGGTGGGGGGCGGGGTGGTGGGGGGCGGGGTGGTGGGGGGCGGGGTGGTGGGGGGCTGCGTGCACTCACGTCAATGTAGTTGGCGTTGATGTAGTCGGAGCTCGGATCTCCGTTTGTTGGCTGAAGCACGACTCGCGAATGGTCGTCTGCACAAAGACAAAGATACCCCACGTAGCTTACATGGAGACCCGGGGCAAGTGCTGTTAGCGAGCGCCTCTTGCTAGTGGCATGGCTCACGAGAATACGTTGTGACTGGCACCGCGTCTGGCCACCTTCGTCTCCCCAGTGCTGATGATTGCACTCCACACCAGGTACTCGTTTTACGCCGAGTCCCCCTATGGGCTCGGCACTTGTTCTAATATCATTCGCCGCCGATGTTAAAGATGGGCGGGAATTAAAACCATGTTGCCGGGTTCGCAGTGGAGCACGCCAACCACTACATTACCGTGCCCGACACATGTTAAAAGGTAAAGATCCCCCATATAGCATGCAACAGCATTGGAGCAAGTACTGTGAGCCCCACACGTACACACACACACATTCACCAGGCACGCCATGCTGGTGACATCCACTCCCGTGAGCACTGTGCGTGTGTTGACGCGTGCATCGATGCCGCGGAGTGAGACGCTGCGATGATTTGCATTTAAATAAAAGAGCAAACATGAATTTCACGCAGGTGAACGAAGAGGGCACGCGAAGCCGATCCACGCTGCGCCTCCGTGCTTGCCAAACTTCCAATGACAGTCATCGTCGGCCATGATCAATCCACTGCTGGATGAAGGCTCCCTCTGCAAGTCGTCACCGCCTCTCACGGTATGGCGACGCAACGATCCGTTCTAGCACCTTGCTCGCCGGCCGATTTCATCGCTCCGTCTCCTCGTCACGTCCCCTGGCTGCCACCACCGTCGTAATGGCTCGGCCAGTGGCCGGCGGCCCCCCCCCCCGGCGAGCACTGCCACGAGGCGGCCTGGCGCAGGGGCCGGTGGCCGGCGGCCCCCCCCCATGGCGCAGGGGCCGGTGGGCCATGTCCCTGACCTGCGCAAGCCGCCCGGTGCTCCTCTCTTTCTCGGTCTCTCGCGGTCGGTCCGGGTGCGTGCCGCTCCACGCCGAGGTTCTCCCTCCACATTTAGAATCACCGTCAAGCGATTGGAGTAATTGGCTGCAATAAATGTCCGCCGGATGACAAGCCACTTCGTTGAGCTATCACTTGTGGCCAAGGTCGCTAGTTTAGTTTCTTTTGGCACTTTTGAGTTTTCGTTCCGGTAAGGACGGCAGCGATATCCACGGCACGGCTCACGCGGAGTTTGTCGGTGTTGTGCGAGCGGACTACGGCCATCTCGACGCGGATTCACCGCCACACACACACACATATATATGAAAAAGGCTAAATAATAAAAGCAGAGAATGCTAATCGGGATTTTGTTCAACGCAGAAAAAACATTCCTCTTGCAATGTAATTATAAGTGGAGTCTTAGTGATAATGATGATGAGCGTGGCTGAGGAGAGAGATGGGGGAGGGGTGGGGGGGGATATTGGGGGGAGGGCGAGGGGCGTTCACCCACTGGGAAACTGCTGGGGCCATCATCAGTAGCCCCGGGCCCAATTCAGTGAAGTCCGGCCGCAGTCCGGCCGCCCCAGGGCCCATACTGAGCGCTGCGCCATCCATCCCTACCCCAGGGCCCACTCTCAGGGCCGTCTCCATCCATGGCCAAGGCCCCACAATGGGTGATGGATGGATGGCATCACCGAGGGTCCAACTTCAAGGCCCAACAGAGGTGTCTACACGGTCGCTGATGGCAGACGGGTGCCCACGTGGTGTGCTGTGCAAACGGGCACTCGGTCCATGAGCGCAACCATCATTCCTGTCATGTTCACTACTATCATCATCATCATCATCACCATCATCATCACTACCGCCGCCATCACCACAATCACCACAATCACCACCTTCATTGCATACACATAATATCATTGGCACCGCAAGTGTCACGTTCGTCACGCCGTTGCATGGAGAAGGAACCTGGAATTCCATCTCAAGCGACACTGTCGCCCCTCGCAAGATCCCTCGCACCCCCCGTGCCGCTCGAGTCGCAGGGACGAACAAATGCGTACGGAGCTTAAGTCGTCCCCACCGGACTCCAGCTCACGCTCCGCGCGTCGCCGCCGCTATCTCTCGGCCGAGTGAGCGATCTCACGCATGACCCGAGGCGATGAGTGGCACCGAGTGATCCCAGTTCCTCCCGGGGGATCGAGGGGGGAGATCGAGGGGGGAGATCGAGGGGGGATCTTCGACCTGGCGGGGTCAAGCACTTACAGGCGATGATGTTTCCATAGCGGTTCTTGGGACGGTTCTCCTCCCGCTTGGCCACGGTCCACGACGCCGACTGCCCTTCAAAGAAACTCTGGAGAGATGGGCAGGGTGGGAGGGAGGGAAGAGAGAAGCGAGAGGAGGGCGAGAGATGTATAAGGTCAAGTGCAGGAGGTGCACAGCGCTCCCATTTTTGCGCACGAATCGTTTTCACAAAGCGCGCTTAACATGTGCCACACGCACACACACACGTACACACGCACACATATGCACAAATACATGCAAAGATAAAGACCCCTCCCCCCCCCCCCGTATAGCCTTCAATAGATTGTTGGGGCAACCGTTGTTAGCGAGCACCTATGACGGCCGGCACGGCGAACGGGCGTGGCCAGCACCACTCCCGACCACCACAGTCGGTACTCACGCTCAGTTCACAGGGTTTATGGTGCGGTGCGCTAACCGCTCCGCCGCCGCTCCCCCCGCATGCACGCACGCATATACGCGCACTTCCCCGGACAAACTCGCACACTTTGAAGTCTTTTATTTTTCAATTTTCAACACGAAACAAAACCCGATAGTAGCAACAAGCGACCGCCATTTCATCTGAATCCAGAAAACCCCCAAACAACCTGCGGAGTGCGCTTGGGCGGCATCGCCGGACAGGAGCCGGAGCCACGCGGAAGAGACGCCTCCCGGGGGGAGGGGGGGACGCCAACCCCGGCACACCACGTCCAGTGCACCTCTCACTATGGGCTGCGGCTGCGAGTCACGTGTCGCCTACTCTCGCCTACCAGCGGCCCGGAAAGCATTCGGTGAGAAACGTAAACTCGGATTGCGACGTGGATCTGGCCGGGTGGCCCAGCGGCAGAGCGAGATGCTCGTGGTCAGAAGGTCACGCGTTCAACTCCTGGTTGGGGGTTAACTTGGCCCATCGTCTTCCTCGGATCAATAAAATGAGTACCACTTTGCGGGGATGTCAACACAGGTTATTCTTTGAGGAATCTTGCCCCGATGTAGGAACGCGTAATTTCCACCGCTGGCTCGGCGGTGCTGTGAGCAGGAAAGCACTTTTGCTTCGGTGTGCGTCATCGGCCCAGGAGTCATGGGGTGGCGGTGGGGACGAGGAGGATTCAGGGGTGAGGGCTCTGCCGTGTCCCATCAGGCGGCATGGCAACTCGCTCCCACCTCTCCCACCTTTCCCCTCTCGCCCCTCTCGCCCCATGCTCCGCGGGGACGCACCGATGACGTGCGACGCTCGGGGCAAATAGAAAATTCCGGGGCAATTTTTGCGGCGGAACCATCGCGGCTGTTTTGTCCCGGTGCCCATGCCCGTGGGCGAGGGATGAAAACAATTACGATTCGGGCGCAACGACACGCGGGCGCATCTCGGGACGCACGGCGGGTGCGTTCGGACCGCAGGCAGGGCCAGCGGTGGCGTGGTAGCGTCACCACGTGGGCCCTGGCGCGAGGGATCAAACGGGGGCCCCCCTCTGACCCGCGGCTTGGTGCAATTGCACAGCCTGCACACTCGACAGCGACTATACTGAGAGGCACTCGGCCACAGAGACTCGTAGAGATCCACAGACTTCAGTGTGCTGGCTTATTTACTTCAGTTTTTTTTTTAAAGGATGGTGGCAGGGACCCGACAGTGCGGATGGCTGGGGGAGTTCCAGACCGAGGCTAACGATGCGACTGTTTTCACCGGGCACCGTCAAATGCCATGGCCTCCGACGGTAAAGTGACGAAAAGATACGGGAGGACTGGGTTCGGGGTGGCTCACACGCCGGAGCTGTTTGAGGAGCTGTGCTGATGAAATCTGTATTATTAATCAGTGCCGAGAAGAGCGGATCCGAGCGCCATGGAGGAGAAATACAAACACACGCAGAGTCAATGTTGCGGGCCAGTTCACAAATGGTGTGCATCATTGATGGCGCTAAATTAGGCATGTGCTGGATCGCACGCGCGCTCACACACACGTGCTCATATACACAAACGTGCTCATATATAGACACACACGTGCTCATACACACACAACACGTGCTCGTACACACACACACACGTGCTCATACACACACAACACGTGCTCGTACACACACACATACACGTGCTCGTACACACACACATACACGTGCTCGTACACATACACACATGTGCTCGTACACACACACACACGTGCTCGTACACACACGCGTGCTCATATACACACAAGCGTGCTTGTGCACACACATACACGTGCTTGTACACACACATACACGTGCTTGTACACACACATACACGTGCTTGTACACACACATACACGTGCTTGTACACACACATACACGTGCTCGTACACACACACATACACGTGCTCATACACACACATACACGTTCTCATACACACACTGGCGTACACACACATGCGTGTGCAGAAAAGCTAATAAACACATGCACACAATGGTCCACGCACACGCACCCCCCCCCGCCCCGCGCCCCTCCCACACACCTCGTACTCCTCCTTGAAGCCGTAGCCCTCGCCCAGCTTCATCTGCTCGATGTGCTGCAGGAGGTCGTTGACCCTGATGGCCGGGTGCAGCTGCCCCGTGTGGTACGGGGACTCGGGCACGCGCTCGGGGCCCCTCCACGCCGGGCACGAGGCCCGCGGCCCCCGCTGGCCCCCGCCCGTCCCGTGGCAGTGCGGCGCGCGGGCGACGTGCCCCCCTCCTCCCCCCGGCGGGGGGAGCTGCTGGGGGACGGGGGGCTGCCCGTGGTGCGGGTAGGGGGGCGCGGGCCCCGACGGGCCCTGGGAGCCGCTCGCCTCGACGAGGGCCCCCCCACAGCCATCGTCTGTGCGGGAAGTGAGGGGGGGGGGACGAAGAGATTTTAGAAGCGGATATTACAGAACTACTTCTGAGGTTCCTTGAAGTGACCTCCAGTTCGCGCGGCGGTGGGCAGTGATTTTCTCATTGCCAGCCCTGAGGCAACGGTGGAAATTCCACATTCCTGCGGACTGGACCGGGGTTTACCGCAGCGTCTCCCGCTTATCGGCACGAAGCCCTGTCTGGCACCCATACCCTGCCGACTCAGAGTCTGGATTAAACACAGGGTCGTGGGCTGGAAGCCAGGCACACACAGACCATCACCGCCCCGCCTCGGCAACAACGAACACCCCAACCGCCGCTCCAAAGCCACGATCCACCACGGCATCAATCAGACACGGCGCCGATAACGTCCCACGCCGGTGCCATCAAAACAGCGGCGGCGAGGCGGCGCTGAATGGGGAACTCGGTTCTGGCGTGCTCCACGGTGGCGCCCGTGTCGTGCGCCGCGGTGGGGCGCCGTTGGCGGCCGTGGTTACGGACGCGCCGGGCCATTACCGGCACTCTCAAAGGCCGCGGTTTACGGAGCGGCTTTACGGTGAAGCCAACTGCGCCACGCGGCACCCCACCGGCGGGCAACGCAGCGCCACAGCGACCAAGCGAGTTGTGGTTGCGCGAGCGGTGAAGTTGCTTGGTGAGCCGCGGTTCACTGCAACCATGGACCCAAGGGTACACGCAACAATAATAAATTAAAATAATCAAATGATTATAATCACTTCCTGCTGTTGCTCTTTGGCAAGCAGTGGTCGGAAAGCTAATTAGAGGCGAGGTGACATTACGCTGCTGGCCAGGCGCTCGCGTCCACGCAAAGTTCAGCTGCCAGGCCTCATCAGCATGGAGCGGCAGCGCCAGCGAGCTGCGCGAAAGCCCCGGGTCTCGCACGCAGACATACGCCAACGCACCGACACGCTTCAGCCTCATCGTCATCATCGACCAGGATCTCGCAACCATTTGGTGATGGCCTGGCACCCAAGTTGCCTCCAACTCTCACGCACGCGCATGCGATGGCACAATCCACCGGGCACAACACGATTTAATTGCTCCATCTCCGTGGCGCATGGCGCACCTCTGGGTGCGTTCCCTCCCTTTGCTGCCGTTGCCACCGCGGCCCCCCGTCTGCCTTGCCGGGCTTCATCGTGATCGCACGCGACGAGCCTCGCGGTTCCAGCTCACCGCGAACGGTTTCACCGCAGAGAGTTCCACCGCAGAGCTGGCACGGAGAGTATCGCGCGGTTTCATCTCAACCCAAGTTCGCTTTGCCAAGGTGCTCGGTCTCGAGCGATTGGCCCATCATTCTGAGGGGGGTAATCGGTGGTGGGGGCGTTAAGGGGGGGGGCAATGGGGGTACAGGGTGCGGAGGGTAGGTGGGGGCAGCGGTTGCTGTGGGCAGTGCTGCGTTTGGCACGCCCCCTCCCTCTCGCTCTGAATGTCAGCCTGGTATTTCACTGGGAAAGGTCACTCCGCCTGGCGTGGAGTCGAGGGCCAGTGCCGACGGTTAGGGTGGGACGGTGTGGAGTGGTGCGTGTTGGCGCCGCAAGAGATTATTACGCTAACATGCGAACGGCGCTGTGTTAGCGCCGGATTCGCATGCACGTGTGTGTGTGCGAGATGTTGTACTCTCTCCATGGCACTCCGTCTGTCTGTGCATCTCTCTTTTTCCTATGCATTTCTCTCGCTCTGCGTCTGGCCCTGTCTCTCAGTGGCAATCTCTTCATCCTTCTGTGTCCATCACTGTTCGTAATTTCTGTACATCTAGCTATGTGTCTGTTGCTCCGTGTTTCTCCATCTGTCCCCATGTCTGTCCATCTCTCTGCATCTCTGTCTCTTTGTGTATCTCTGCCTGTCTGCAGGGCTCTCACTCCTCCATCTGCACGTGGAGTCTGCACACTCAGACTCAAATAGAGACCCATGGACTTACCTTGCTGATCTGTGACTAAGAGCTCCGTAGCTCATCAGATTCCTCCAGTTTAAATAAAGATTCTGAGTCTGGACGGCTTTTGTTGTCGAGGTAGCCCAAGTCCGGAACGTTCGTTAGTGGGCGTTAGCAGGTGTGAGTGAGCGAGAGCAGGTCGGCACGATCGAGCAGCCGTTCTGTGAAAGCGAGAGCAATGGAGCAGCGCAAGTGACCAAAATTGGTCACTTGACCCCCCTCTCGCCCCCCTGCCCCCCGCCCCCCCCCACGATTGCGCGTGTCCAAACTGCTCGGGCCGCGGTTCCTGCGACGCCCCGCCTCCAGTCCTCGCCGCATTATTTGAATTTGGGCTTCCGGCAGAGGTGGCTCCGGCTCGTCGCTCCCAAGCCCCCCGGCGTGGCCGACACACCGCTCGGCTCATTAGCAGGGAGGTGCGTGGGACAGGGCTCACACGAGTGAGCGAGCGAGCGCGGCGCGCCCGCACCTCCCTGTGGGAACGTTATTTAATTGAACCAAATAATTATATAATTACGGTCATTAAATTGTGCTCGGCGTGAGTGCCGGCTCCGTTAATTAAAATTCCGCTCCCTCGCGGCGCCTGCGTGAACGTGCCACCGCTGCTGCAGGTGCTGCGCAGAAAAAATGTTGTGACTCGCAGCAGAGCCCGCTGACCGGGGCCCGCCGGGCCGGTGGGGATCGGCAGGCTGGCCACCTCTGAGATACAAAACATGGAACTTGCTGTGGAATGCAGAGAAACTCTCAGAATATATTAATAAGGGAGGGCTACACGTGAATGCGTTGTCTTGGGTGGTGCAGTGTTATTGCGTAGCTGAGAAAAAAACGTCCCGGGACAGCTGCAGCTGCCTCTGCAACAACAGAACGGTCCTGGGGAAACTGGAACACGTGGCAAAACCAAAATCAAACTTACCCATGGCCTAGGCCAGCGGTGGAGACAAGACGGCCCACGGACCAGGTAAGGCCCGTGACTTTAAGTTCATGCGGCCCGCGGCCTGACAAAGCTCACCACCTCGAAACAGCGGCTCACGCACGATGTTTGTCCGTCGCCGCGAGAATCTTATCCACACTGATCGGGTATCAGAGGGGTGCATATTTGCAACCTGGCACAAATGCCATGTATATCTAACTTTAAGGGCAAGGGCTTCCTTTCCTACTCTTCCTATGCGGCCGATGCGCGCGGATCGCCGAATCCTGTTTGGCCCTGGGCACTGTGAGATTTACCACCCGCGACAAACGTGAAGCCAGCAATGGGCCGCAGGTCTAGGCCCAACGACACGGAGGGTGGGACGGGCGTGGTGACGCCACGCCAGGTGGCACTGAACCCTCTCACTCGCCCCGATGTGGAGGGGCGCCTCAAATGGCAGTCAAACGATTGTTTTCGAGCTGAGATGAAGCTGAATTAAGTTCAATCCGGTCCTTGTTGACTGGGCTGATATCAGCAATGCACGACACTTGGGAACCCAGTTAAATTTTAACCCAGGATTTCACCTGTGCTGGCTGAATGATTCGACACGGCCATTATGAACCACCACTGAACTACCCAGCCAATTGTTAATTGTGCATTGGGCACTGCCCATTTTCAGTGGTGGCTTGAACCAGTGGTCAAATTTCCATATTCCTATGGCAGTGACTGGTGCAAGTAAGGACTATCACCGTTTAATTTTGCAGCAAGTGCCACTCGGTTCTAATATCAAGTTGGGACAGAATGGCTGTTGAGTTTCCCGCCAGGAGGCCGGTATCTAGAGGGTGCCAGTTCAACTACAGGAAAGGGCGACTCCTGGGGTTCACTTCATCGGAGTCCCTCCTTCCCCCTCCTACCCGTGGAGTAAGCCCATCACGGTGGAGCGACGCGGCCTCGGCTCGCAACGGCGTCACGGGCAGATAAGCGAAAGGTTAGAAAATAACAATCCCCATGTGGCGACACAAAACCGCGCACATTAGCATAATGAAATGTCACCTGGGCATTCTGTCTGGCACGCGAACGCGTTCGTGAGGGGCGGTGAGGCGACACCACGGAGACGGCGTGGGCGGTTAACGCACGCGCCAACGCACGTAAACACCAACGCACGCGCCAACGCACGTAAACACCAACGCACACGCATGTAAACACCAACGAACACACACTCGCTAACGCACGTAAACACCAACGCAGATGCACGCGCCAACGCACGTAAACACCAACGCACGCGCTAATGCACGTAAACACCAACGCACACGCACGCGCTAATGCACGTAAACACCAACGCACACGCATGTAAACACCAACGAACACACACTCGCTAACGGACGTAAATACCAACGCACACACACGCGCCAACGCACGTAAACACCAACGCACATGCACGCGCTAACGCACGTAGACATCAATGCACACGCACGCGCCAACGCACGTAAACACCAACGCACACGCACGTAAACACCAACGCACACGCATGCGCTAACGTACGTAAACACCAACACACACGCGTGCACAAAAGCACGTAAACACCAACACACACGCATGCGCTAACGCACATGAACACCAATGCTCACATGCGCTAACGCACACGCGTGCATTGCACCCAAGAACTCGATTTCAAGCGCCGTGGCCGAGGTGGCCGACACCCAGATTTGAACTCCAGGCTCTCTGCGCTGGAGTTCGCGATCGAACCCCGCGTCCGATTCCACGAATATGTGCGCGGTACAAATCGTGCCTATGTTGAATTTGATTGTTATCGTGCTTGAAGGAGCGGGGGGACCTCGTTACCTGGGCAGGAGGAGGAGGAGGGTTTGGGGGATCTGTGGTTGGCGGCGAGGCTCTCCGCGGTGTGCGACGGGGTTTGGGCTGACCGCGGTGCAAGCACAGGGGTCGGAGGGCAGACAGGCGAGAAGGAGGAAGACACGAGGAGGACACGAGGAAGAACAGGCAAGAGGTTTAAACGCATCACGCGAGGGGGGAAACGCGAAAGGTTAACGTGGCCAACGGGGAGCACGCCCCAACAAACATGTACGGCGTGCGCTCGCTGCACCGCCACCGGTAGAGACCGTGCCATCTCCACCGCGTGCGATCTTCACCGCACACCATCTTCACCGCACGCGAGGGATTCCGTAGCCGCTCGGGAGTGTGCATGTCCACATTGGGCTGCGTATCCAGAACCTTTCACCGCCGTGAAATTCGAGCCCGGGATGTCCCCGTGGTGCCCGCCAAAGTCGTGCGTGGCCAAAGCTGAAGGGAAGAACAGCTCAGCACACGTCCCAACCCGGAATCCGCATTTGGATCTTACAGAAAGAGAGATATATAGACACACACGTGTTTACATGTACTGCACACATATGTGTGTACAAAAGACAAAGATTTCCCATATAGCCTGAACAGATGGCTGGGACAATTGCTTTTAGCGAGCACCTATGAAGGCCGGTACGGCACACGAGGTGGTGGATGGTCAACATCACGCCCGGCCGCCTTTGTCTCCCCAGTGGTGATGTTTACACACTGCACCGGGTACTCATTTCAGGCTGAGTCGACCTATCGGAGGCCCAGGACCGGTTAAAATAATCGTCACTGGTGTTTGCCATGAGTGGGAATCGAACTTAGTTTGCTGGATTCGTAGTGCAGTGCAATAACCGCTACTCTTTTGTGTGTGTACACATATATACATATACGCATATTTCTTATATATCAAGGTTGCTAAGCACAGTCCCCGGGCCCAAAACTGTCCGTGGGCAGCAACAAACAACACTCTTATCGAAGTTGTAATGGATGAGAGCTTGACACGTTCTAGAAATGGGAAAGGTTATTGTTGTAAGAGCTTAGGGTGAGAGCCGATGAGGGGAGGGGGGTCACAAAGCGGAGCAGTGCACAGCAAGACGCAGCACGAGAAGTCTGGTGACTGGCAGTGCGGTGAGTGAACGGGTGAATTGGTTAGTGAGTGGGCGAGTAGTGGATGAGTGAGTGGTGGGTGAGTGACTGAGTGAGTGGTAGGTGAGTGAGTTGTTGTGACCCGATGTGTGGTGAGTAGGCGAGTGAGTGGGTGAGTGGGTGAGTGAGTGACCTGTCATTAACCGCAGTGTGCTGAAATGAACAAGTGACGCTCATGGGAACGGTAACCATGGCAGTGGTGTTGGAAGAGTGATGATTGTATGCATCTCCAGCAACAATTAGTGGCGACCAGTTTAAGTTGGCACATGGCTTGATTTCTCATTTAATAATTTTCGGATTGCCGGCGGACTGGAACAGGCGGTGCCGTGACGACTCGTGCGCACAGCCATAGCGAGAGGCGGCATGGTGGATGTGGTGTGCTGGGTGCAACATGGACGGATCTGGCTGGGTTGGCGACCTTTATTTATGACTGAGAAGAGAGGCCCACGGGGACCGGGAGTCAATTTTGCAAGAGAGGCTCGTGTTTAAATAAGCACGGCAAATGTAAGCACGCGAGCACGAAGCGCTCATTTAAGATGCAACACAAATCCTGTGCAGGTTGGCTCTGCTTTCATCCGAGAGTCCAAACGGTAATTATACTGGCATGTGTGGCGGAGATGTAAAACACACACACACCCCCGCATGCACACACAAGCACGCACGCAAGTAAACACAGAGATGCCCTCAAATAGCCTTGAGAAGCTGTTGGGATGAGTGCTCTTAATGAGTACGATGGGGTAGTGTGGTCAGTACCACGTCCGTGCACCTTTGTCTTCCCAGTGCTAATGTTTACACACTGCACCAGGCACTCATTTAAGGCTGAGTTGACCTTAAGAATGGCCAGGAACGGTAAAAATATTCATAACCGATGTTGGTCGTGAGCGAGAATCGAACTCGGACCGCTGGGCTCGTAGCTCAGTGCACCAACTACTACGCTACCATCCCTCGCACACGCGCATACACACGCACACGCGCACACACACGCGCATGCACACACACGCACACGCGCACACAGACACACACGCACGCACATGCATGCACACACGCACATATGCACAGTAACAAACATGCACAAAGACAAAGTTACCCTGTATAACCTACACAGGCTATTGGGGCAAGTGCTGTTGGTGCGCATCTGTGAATACTAGATTTTAGTACGCAGGTAACATCTAATTTCAGAAGAGGTCACCAACACACTTCGACTGATCACTACTGAACCCCATCCTGTGTGCCAGTGTCAACGGCGATCAGCCAGAGCGTGTCGGTGACCATCGCACACACACGTACAACAACAACTGCCATTTGCCACTAAATGGCGGTGACATCACCACGGCGCTTGTGCCAGGCTATGCAAACTGTAAGGCCACGTGAAGTGTCGAACGCCCGCTGGCAGGAGGTCATGGGACAGACCCAGGTGTCATAGGTTGACTGACTGAGATACTGGTTGATGCACCACCTGTGCACCCTACGGTGCCAACTTGCTGTGTTTTAGCTACCTGGTGCTCCGCCCGTTGTTGTGAGCGTCGCTCCTCTGCCCTCTGTTGTTGCTGGAGGGCGACTGCCTCCAGCTGCCTAGTAGCAGGAGCGTCCTTCACGAGCCTTCTCCACAAAGGATGATCTTGACACCGCTGGTACCAGTTATCGGCAATTCCAGCTCCACATCCTCTTCTACCACATCACTCCATCTCTTCTCGAGCCTGTTCTGCACCTGTTTAGCTCCCTCTATCCGGTCGAACAAAATATGTTTAGGCATGCGGTGGCTGGGCATGCGGGCTACATGACCCAGTCATCGCAGCCTTGGCTGCCGAAGGACCTCACCGATGGGACTTTGTCCAGATCTTTCAAGGATTTGTGAGCTCCTCACACAATCCAACCTGGTTAAACCCAGGATGGATCGTAGGCAGGCCAGCCTAAATTGTTCTAACCGGCGAAGATGTTCCATGAGGGGGTCCACGTTTCGCGAGCGTAGAGAAGGGAGGGCATGACAGTGGAAGAGAAGACACAAAGCTTCGTGTGGAGCAACAGACCAGGTAGCTTCCACATCATGTCACTCCACACGCAGCTTCTGGTCTTCTTTGCACGTGGTTCACTGAACTGAACACACACGCACACACGCACGCGGGACTCACAGCGGCTGGCGCTGGCATTGCTGCTGGTGCCGTGCGCGTTGAGGAAGGCGAAGGGCTCCTCGGGCAGGATGGTGCTCTGCTCCGCGTAGCTCTTGTCCATCGCGTTCACCATCAGCGTCATCTCCTGGCGCCGCCCGCCGCCTCCGCCGCTTCCGCCTCCGCCGCCACCACCGCGCTTCTTCGCCAGCTTCCTGCGCACCCCGCACACGTGACCACCGGCGAGCGCCGCACCGGCGTCCATCACGGTGCTCCGGAGCCGCCCGTCCGCTCGCTCGCTCATCAACAAAATCGACGTGCATCGTTTCATCGACGATCCAGCGGCAAGGTCATCTGCTCGCTCACCCGCTATCTCGCTTGCACACTCAATTGCTCGTCTGCAAGAATGCTCAGGAGCGAGTCTGCATGCTCGCCAGTGATCTGGCAAGCTCAGCTGCTCGCTAACCAGTACTAAACTAACGAAAACTAAACTTTATATTTTACTAGGCAAGGCCCAGAGCTATATAGCTCTTTTTCATAAGCGATCTGCCCACAAATTATAGCTCAACAAAGTGGCTCATCAAGTGCAAATTTATAGCAGTCAAATAATCTGAATGCACGTTTTTACCACTGACCATCCAGAATTCCTGATGCCAGCACGCTCATTTCCTGCGTGTTCATTTATTCATCCCATTCGAGCTATCGTCCTTGCGTCGTCACGAGACAGAGGATCCATTCGGGACTCTCGCAGAGTGGCACGGCCCTTCGTGTTGTTAGAGAACTGCCCTAAGAAGTGGAAAACACAGAGCTACTCCTGAGACAGCAAGCTCACCCCGCTCGCTCAACAGCCCACACGTCCGCAGCACACTTGTTCTGACAAGTGGCCCATTAGTGAATGTGTCAATCACTCGGTGGTGCATTCCAAGCGTTTATCAATAATTCACGTTTGTTAATTTGCATCTCCCCAGTTTGTTTCTTGTGTGATTTGGCCAAGCCTGGCTGGCTCTGGGCTACGTGTGTAGGACAGCAGCAGCAGGAGGTGGTGGATGAGGAGAGAGGGGGGGGGGAATGGGGGTGCTGATGATCTGAAACAGTGGAGCTCTCTCCGAGTTTGCAAGTGGAATATCCCCATGCTCGCTGTGGCCAACAGAGGTCACTAAAAGCGAGCAGTGGTGGAGAGAGAGTGGACCGAGCCCAGTGATGGGCCGGGGCGGTTAAAAAAAACCCAGACCCAGAGCTCTGATCCGACTCCGAATGGATTTGCGCTCAGATAAAATTAACCGCCTGGTCGCCCAGGAGCTATCACGCTCGTTTGGGGGGCTCTGTGTCGATAATCAAGCACCCATTGTTCGCTGTCGCTTTCTTGTTAGGAACTCAAATTATATACACCAGAGTAATTTATTAATTTATACCAATCGCCACTCCTCGGGAGCACCGTGAGGGTCTCACTCTGGGCTCAGGGCAGCGTGAGGGTCTCACTCAGGGCTCAGGGCACCGTGAGGGTCTCACTCTGGGCTCAGGGCACCGTGAGGGTCTCACTCTGGGCTCAGGGTACCGTGAGGGTCTCACTCTGGGGTCAGGGCTCAGGGCACCGTGAGTGTCTCACTCTGGGCTCAGGGCACCGTGAGTGTCTCACTCTGGGCTCAGGGCACCGTGAGTCTCTCACTCAGGGCTCAGGGCTCAGGGCACCGTGAGTGTCTCACTCTGGGCTCAGGGCACCGTGAGGGTCTGACTCAGGGCTCAGGGCACCGTGAGGGCCTCACTCTGGGCTCAGGGCACCGTGAGGGTCTCACTCAGGGCTCAGGGCACCGTGAGTGTCTCACTCAGGGCTCAGGGCACCGTGAGGGTCTCACTCAGGGCTCAGGGCACCGTGAGGGTCTCACTCTGGGCTCAGGGCTCAGGGCACCGTGAGGGTCTCACTCTGGGGTCAGGGCTCAGGGTACCGTGAGGGTCTCACTCTGGGCTCAGGGCACCGTGAGGGTCTCACTCTGGGCTCAGGGCACCGTGAGGGTCTCACTCAGGGCTCAGGGCACCGTGAGGGTCTCACTCAGGGCTCAGGGCACCGTGAGTGTCTTACTCTGGGCTCAGGGCTCAGGGCACCGTGAGGGTCTGACTCTGGGCTCAGGGCTCAGGGCACCGTGAGTGTCTCACTCTGGGCTCTTGGTACCGTGAGTGTCTCACTCTGGGCTCAGGGCACCGTGAGTGTCTCACTCTGGGCTCAGGGCACCGTGAGTGTCTCACTCTGGGCTCAGGGCACCGTGAGTGTCTCACTCTGGGGTCAGGGTACCGTGAGGGTCTCACTCTGGGCTTAGGGCACCGTGAGTGTCTCACTCTGGGCTCAGGGCTCAGGATACCGTGAGGGTCTCACTCTGGGCTCAGGGCACCGTGAGGGTCTCACTCTGGGCTCAGGGTACCGTGAGGGTCTCACTCTGGGCTCAGGGCACCGTGAGGGTCTCACTCTGGGGTCAGGGTACCGTGAGGGTCTCACTCTGGGCTCAGGGCTCAGGGCACCGTGAGGGTCTCACTCTGGGGTCAGGGTACCGTGAGTGTCTCACTCTGGGCTCAGGGCACTGTGAGGGTTTCACTCTGGGGTCAGGGTACCGTGAGGGTCTCACTCTGGGCTCAGGGCACCGTGAGGGTCACTCTGGGGTCAGGGTACCGTGAGGGTCTCACTCTGGGGTCAGGGTACCGTGAGTGTCTCACTCTGGGCTCAGGGCACCGTGAGTGTCTCACTCTGGGCTCAGGGCACCGTGAGGGTCTCACTCAGGGCTCAGGGCACCGTGAGGGTCTCACTCTGGGCTCAGGGCACCGTGAGGGTCTCACTCTGGGCTCAGGGTACCGTGAGGGTCTCACTCTGGGTTCAGGGTACCGTGAGGGTCTCACTCTGGGTTCAGGGTACCGTGAGGGTCTCACTCTGGGGTCAGGGCATCGTGAGTGCGTCGTATCTATAGCACGGTTGAAATTTTAGAAAAACTCTGTAGCGGTTTTGACGCTCTACGCCTCATCAGCAGAGCCACGCTCGCTTCAAAGCAACGGTGCCAAACTGCCCCGGGTGTTTAGGCAGTGCCCCGGTCTGTTATCAATGGGTCCGGGCGCGATGACAGAGACCAGCAAGTCACAGTCGTTAGGCGTCACTGTGGAGAATAATTAAGTCGCTAATTACAAGTGGATTGTTTATGCATCTGCAACGATCGCGCCGCTCGGCATTGTGGGAGCCGTGGGGACTGCGGAAGCAGGCAGGACGCATGCGTGTGTAATGTGTCTGTACGTACTTCTGCTTTAGTGCGTTTACATCAGACACAGGTGGCCGGGCGTGATGCTGTGCCACCCACCCCCTCCCTCGCGTGCCGCGCCAGCCTTCGTAGGGGCTTGATTAACAGCGCTTGCCCCCCCCCCCCCCCGCAGTCTGTTAAGGCTATGATGCGGGGGATCTTTGTCTTTGTTGTGTAAGTGTGCAAAGGTTTTCAAATCATGGTGAGGCTCACTCTCTCGCGTCACCGTCATTGCCCCGCCCCTACGGCTCCCCTAACCACCCGCGGGGGGGGGGGGGGCCCGCCAGCCCGAGGAATGCCGTTGTCATGGCAACAACAAAAGCCGTTGCTCCTTCAAACGGGCCAATGGCGTCGGAGTGTGGAACTGGCTGGGCTCGTTCAAATTTGAGGCGAGGCGGACACACAAATTACACAAACACACAAATTACACAAACATACAAATTACACAAACACACAAATGACACAAATTACACAAACACACAAATACACAAACACAAAAATTACACAAACACACAAATTACACAAACACACAAATTACACAAACACACAAATTACACAAACACACAAATTACACAAACACACAAATTACACAAACACACAAATTACACAAACACACAAATTACACAAACACACAAATTACACAAACACACAAATTACACAAACACACAAATACACAAACACACAAATTACACAAACACACAAACACACAAACACACAAATTACACAAACACACAAATTACACAAACACACAAATTACACAAACACACAAATTACACAAACACACAAATTACACAAACACACAAATACACAAATCACACAAACACACAAATACACAAACACACAAATACACAAACACACAAATTACACAAACACACAAACACACAAACACACAAATTACACAAACACACAAATTACACAAATTACACAAACACAAATTACACAAACACACAAATTACACAAATTACACAAACACACAAATTACACAAACACACAAATACACAAACACACAAATACACGAACACATGGGGGCAGGCGCAGTCAACGACTCTTCTAACACAATCCTCTGCACAGCTCCAACCAACGGCGACGGGCGCGCGCGGACGTCTTTATTATTATTCTTATTGCGACCTGTTGCGAACGTTGCGGTTTTTTTAACTTTACAGTTTGTTTTGTTCTTAGCTCACAGGGCAATTCTAAGTAAACTGTTCTAAATAAACTGTTCGACTGTATGTGTACGTACGAGTGTGTGTACGTCCGTGTACGTCCGTACGTGTGTGTGTATGTACGTGTGTGTGGGTACGTGCGTGTGGGTACGTGTGTGTGGGTACGTGTGTGTGGGTACGTGTGTGTATGTACGTGTGTGTGCGTACGTCCAAGAAGGTCCAGCTTCAAACGAGGGACACAAAGCTGGCCGAGCGTGATGGTTTCCACACCACCGACCCTTCGTGCGTCATGCCGGCCTTCATACGTGCTCGCTAGCGGCACTTGCCCCAACAGCCTGCTAAGGCTATTCGGGGGATCTTTGTCTGTGTGTCCATGGCACTCCCTGAGTGGCTTTGCGACTCCTCTCGCCCCTTTCCCCCTCACCAGGAGAAAACCCAGCACGCATACCGCAAAGGTCGACGCACTCGATGCTTCCGCACGGATAGATTTACAATCCATTGCTGGACTGCCATCGCCTCGCTGCCTGGCTACAGCCCAGCTGTTAAACCCACGCGTGCAGCTGCACTGGCAGGTGCAGAACGATGGTCACGCCGGACGCGGTCACAAACAAATCGTGGAATCTACAGATACACAAACAGTAGTAAGATACACAAACAAACAAAAATCGCTCCAATTCGCAGGCTTGTCCAGGAGGGCCGAGGTCAAACCCGCTGGGTTTCAAATTCCACCATCAGTGCCCTCGATACAAACGGAGATCCACGTCCATTCCCTAACGCGCC